AAATAAATAAAATCTTAAAAAAACAAACAACCATATAATACAGTATACATATAACATTATATAGTACACTATATTAAAATGTATAACATGCATAGACATACATACATACATATTATAGATATTATGCACATATACAAATATATACATAATATACATTTATTCTCCCTATGAATATATACAAATCCTATATATGCTATTTTATAATAATTTTTACTGATGGCTCCCCAAATTCCTAACATGTTGGCTGTCTGTCTTGTTGGCCCGCCGGAGGGGCTCCAGCACACTGTGGCTCACAGGGGGCTGGCGCGTGAAGGTCCCGGAACGGGAGAGTCCGTGCCTCCTGGCTGCGCACATGGCCTGGCCGTTCAGGCAGGGGAGGAGCCTGCTTTGGGGAGAGGGCGCGAATTTGGGTTTCGCCCTAGTGTTCAGGCACCATTAGCACACCCACAGGACCAAGCCCCAGGCTCTTTAGGGGCGGCAGTTTGGGGGTCCCCAGGACGCCGCGCCCAGGGTGCGGTGGGGCAGGCTGCTGACTGCTCCCTTGTGTGACCCCTCAGCCCTCAACAGCCTGACCGGCGAGTTCAAGGGGAAGTACTACCCTCTGAAGAGCATGACGGAACAGGAACAGCAGCAGCTCATCGACGATCACTTCCTGTTCGACAAGCCCGTGTCCCCGCTGCTGCTGGCCTCAGGCATGGCCCGCGACTGGCCCGACGCCCGGGGCATCTGGTGAGGTCCCCTCCCCCAGCCCCTGCCAGTCCCCCTTCCCCCGGCCTTCCATTACCCTCCCCATCCCTCTACCAAAGCCAACACCATAAAAACGATGTTTCCAGGTGCCCCTGAAAAATGACCTTGCCTTCCGCCCCCCGTGTGACCTTGGGCACATTGTTTAACGTTTCTCTGCCCTGGTTTCCCCATCTGTAAAATGGAGAGCACAGTAATTGAGAACGGTGCCTGGGATATAGTAAGTGCCCGACATCTCGGCTATTAGTTTTATCTTTTATCGTTGCTAGTTAGGTTTCTATGAACCTTTGAATCCCCGATCGTTGAGAGTCAAGGATTTTCAAAGGTTTTGGAAATAGGTTTCAGACGATTTGGAGAGCGTGAGTTCTAAGATATACAGATGGGATGAATCTAAGGTTCCAAGATTTTGAGTGTTTTTAGGTTCTCGGATGCCACTAATTCCAGGTTCTGTGATTCCGTGGTCTCAGACATTTCCAGATTGGAAATGTTTTGTGGTTCTAAGACTCTGTTTCTGAGACGTCACAAGGTGAAGGCAAGGTTGGTCCTGAGACCAGATGTAGGACTTCCAAGATTTATCAATTCTGATTCCCGGCTACTGTTCTTCAAAGATTCTGAGAGTCTAAGGGTCTGTCATTTAATGCTGTTCAAAGACTGAAGACCCTAAAAACCCTGGATCTTAAGATTGGCGATTTCTCAGATCCTGTGACGTTAGGGTCTACGGGGGTAAAGCTTCTGCGATTTTGAGGAGCTCGTGCCATCACCTCGAACTCCTCAGGCCCGCTGCCCCCTAGCGGTGGCTGTGTTGTCGAGAGGCCGGGAAAGGGGTTGCCACGCGGAGCTGATGATGCCTTGGCCTCTTCCTGCGCCCCACTCTAGGCACAATGACAACAAGAGCTTCCTGGTGTGGGTGAACGAGGAGGACCACCTCCGAGTCATCTCCATGGAGAAGGGGGGCAACATGAAGGAGGTTTTCCGCCGCTTCTGCGTGGGGCTGCAGAAGGTGGGTAGCCTGCCCCTCGCGGCGGACCTGGGACTCCCCGTGCACGCCGCACCCGCTTTCCAAGGCCCCGCCCCGCGGGGAACCCGGCTCCACCCTATGCCCAAGCCCCGCCCCTAAGAGCCCGCCTCCCAAGCGTCCTCCAGCCCAGCCCCCGCAGCGTCAGGCTCCCCCTGGGTGCTCTGGCCCCTCCCTTCAGAAGCTCAGCCCTCGCGCGGTTTTCCAACCCCGCCGTCTAGGAATCCCCCCCCCCAACCCACGTCCTCACACCGTCTTCCTCCCAACCCCGTCCCGGTTGCGGGTGCATTTGGGGGCGCCCGCTGGCGCTGACCCCAGGTCCTGTCCCCTTACCTCAGATTGAGGAGCTCTTCAAGAAAGCCGGCCACCCCTTCATGTGGAACGAGCACCTGGGCTACGTGCTCACCTGCCCGTCCAACCTGGGCACCGGGCTGCGTGGAGGCGTGCATGTCAAGCTGGCGCACCTGAGCAAGCACCCCAAGTTCGAGGAGATCCTCACCCGCCTGCGCCTGCAGAAGCGGGGCACAGGTGTAGCTCCGCATCCGCGCACCGCGGCGTCGGGGGCGGGCCCTTTGCGGAAGGGGAGGTGGAGCATCCACGCGAGCTCTGGGGTGGACAAGGGCTACCCCTCTGTGAGCCTCAGTTTCTTCCTCTGCAAATGGGCGTCGGCACGCTTTATCTCACAGGAATCGATAGGATGTCATGGCTATCTGATATACATTGTGTATGTCCCCTGCCCCCTAGGGACCTCGGCTTCCCATCTGTAAAGGAGAGGATGGTCAGGGTTCGACCGCAGGCAGCCTGGCTCCGGGGCTCACTCTTGCCCACTATGCTATATTTTCATGTTGGATGGTTGAGGGGTGAGGTATCTAAATTAGCCGGAGACGTGAGCCCGTGAATAGACATTTAGGAGACTCTGAATGCACGTAACCTGTTACGCAGTAGGCACCCAGTTCGTGCGGCCGTCTCCGTTGGCACGGGGCAGCATCCTGGGCCCCGTTCCTGAACCTCTGCTCCCTCCTTATGCTCCTGCTCCTTCAGGTGGTGTGGACACAGCTGCTGTGGGCTCAGTGTTCGACGTATCCAACGCCGATCGGCTGGGCTCGTCCGAAGTAGAGCAGGTGCAGCTGGTGGTGGACGGTGTGAAGCTCATGGTGGAGATGGAGAAGAAGCTGGAAAAGGGCCAGTCCATCGACGACATGATCCCCGCCCAGAAATAGGCGTCCAGCCCGCTCGCCGCCGACTGCTGGAGCCCCAGCTAA